AAAACTGTTCTCCTCATGCACACACAAACCCATTTCCTAATGCTGTATTCCTGTCACACTTGTGTTCCATGCTGGCCCTAATGTATTCCATCTAACTTTTCGGAGATTTCTGAACTGCCTACTGCAAAACATGATCTCCCAGTATACACCTCCCATATGTCCATGGTTAGAAACTACATTGGTACATTGATCTTGCTTGTTAAGTATAAAAATTATAAAGGAATCTTATTTTTGTGTCAAACAGTGGAGTATTTATATATATATTTTTTTTAAGTTTGAGCTTTTAACAGCCCAGCCTTATTTTTCATGGCCATTGCCAGACAGCAGAGAGGTTCCCTGTCTGGCACTGGATTTGGGGTATTGGTGGGGCACTCCCTTGCCTGGACAGCATGAGACAATCATCCTCCTGCTACTGAGCATCTGCTTGTGCTGCACAAATAYGGCTCTTAATCATAATGGCCCCAATCCTATTTATTTGGTCCAGTATCAATTTAACTTGGGATTAATYCCACCTGGTTTTTATTTTCATGTTTAGATACATGAGTCTATTTAAAGAAAGAGAAGTTTTTTTTCCACATTTACAGAGCAGTTTCACAASTGTTTTTGAAAACACAAATATCCATCACTGTGGATATGGAGATAGTTTAAAATAGGTCATGCATCAGAATTTCCTTTCTAAAGGTCAGTTGCCATGATTTGCAAAAATAAGAACAGTTTCTAAAATCTGATTATAAAAAAATACCTTTTTTCCCCTATAAAAATGCAAATAACTCTATTAGATTATTTCYTATTCCTCACATCTCTCTATACTTCATAAATGCACGTTGTCATTTCTTCATAAATGTACATTCTTCATTCTTAGCTTGTACACACTATCAGACCTGGAAATTCACATCCTCTGTATCTCAGTATTCTCATCTCTACAGGACCCCCTGCACAGATGTTTCTCTAAGTGTGTAGTCTATGCTTTAGGCAGCAGGAGTGACCTGAAGTACATTTGTAGCTGCTGGTCCATAGGAGATTCTACAGCTGAGGGTGTTCCAACACTTCCTAAGGGATCCAAGCAAATGCCAGTGGGGCCTCTCAGGCATTCAGCATTAATTCAGCAGAGGAGTGATTCCCTCTCAGAAAGAAACATCTGTATCAGCAGTAGAAGATTACAACAGTGTTATGGTATCAGCAGAAGCTGCAGCCTGRCTCCTCTGGAAAGCCCTTTCAGAAGTGGATAAACATAACAAAAATGTACTYATGGGACATGGCAAGGTATAGAGGGGTTATATCAGAGCAGGTGCAAACACACAGAGCAATGATGATTTTATGTAGGCTGACTAATGGCATCCTTTTTCTCTTTGAAAACATGTTTTGAATCCTGATGTTGACAGGAATGTGTGAAAAGCTGCTCCAAATAAAACTGTGTGTATTTCTTTCTTTAGAAGGAATGAGAAATACAAATATAACAAGGGGCTCTTTGAAGCTMACTGTGAAACCTCTGGGCTCCACAAAGATTTAAAAGTAGCACTTGGGTAGCAGAAATGCCTCTTACAGTTCTGCCYCCTCCAGACTGAGCACAGATCTCACCGTTGGGCTTTGTGTTAACAGTGGGGGCTTAGACCCATGAGAAACTATGGTGCTTCATACTGAAACTCSGTGGAGAAAAACAGATAGGATTTGTGCTCCCCCATTCTTTAATCTCCTCTTTCACTCTTCCCAGCAAGTTTGAAGGGAAACTCCACAGTGTTATCCATMGTCCCTCATCCCTCCCTCAGTGTCCCTAATGCCGTGTAATACTCTGTGGTTAGATTGGCCGTTCCCTTCTGCTGTGGGACACTTGATCTGCWTTTATCTGCCCACAGTAACAGCAGCATGGAGCTCTTGGTTARGACTGCTTTTTTAACTTACTAAAGTTTTCATACAGAAATCGTAACAAAGCAAACCCAGTGGATGTAGTATGCAGGAAGTAAATAGTTTGTACACTCAGGCCACAGCAAGGAGCTGCACAGACAGCATATGGCTCTGTTTATATACACAAAATTAACAGTATGCAATCCAATTAGGAAGGTGGAGATCCTTATCATCACATTAGCCAGCGGTTTCCAGCGTGTGTGAATCAAGACTTCAGCATTTCCTTCCTGGACTGACTGATGCTGAATTGTTGGATTTATCTCGTTCCCTTGGTTTCTGATACTGTGACTCTGGTGAAAGGTCGATAGGAGCATAAACCCAGGCTGTGAGCAATGGGCGTTTCAGCAGAATGAAAGCTCCAGAAAAGCTTTACTGCTTTCAGGGATTGTGGACAAAGAAATTCCCTAAGCAGTGTCTTCTGCTTTTGTTCAGTCACAAAAGAGTAGGATTCTGTGGTGAAAGGGAAWCTGTCAAGGGAATTTCTATTGCAATTATGTGCATGCAAGGAAAGCAGGTTTCAGGCTCTCCCATGCACTGCCAATCTAGTAAGGGTTATTCAGCACGGTGCTTCATGCCATGAGAGAAATTAGACTGACACATCTGTAACATCTGCGTTTATATTTCTCTTCGGGGTATCCCTGCCGCACATGGTCAAACTCCTCTTTGTAATAATTAAGAGGAAACAGTTACAATATTGAGAGCTGTCACCTGTTTAAAGTGTTTTCCCTCTGTGGCTGAGGAACTTGGGCAATTCACAAAGAAATTTTGTGTCTGGTGCACACAAATCATACCTGGCAGTACCTCCCCAGGAGCACCTGGGCTCAGCTTTGCAGACTTTTCCCCAAAAGCTCTCAGCTCCATGGCCTTGCTGACACCAGTGAGACAATTCCTATAATCCTGCAGTGCTGTACATCCCGAGGAGAGGTCCTGCTAGCAGGTGTGGACTGCTGACCCTCAGCCAGGGAACTGTCTTGTACTCTTACAAGCTGCTTTTCCTACAATATTTAATTACCCTAACCTYGGGATTACATTTCCGTCTTCTCCAGGGATGCGATTAAATTCTCRTAAAATAGCCATTTAAACTTAATTAGTTTTAAAAAGCTGTAATCCCCTCAAAGAAATTTTTTAGCTCAGTTAATGACTGCTAGCTGAARTGTTGTTTGTAATGAGTTTATCCAAAGGAACTTGGAGAATGTCTTAGTGCAGAATGGTGTACTGCAGCTCAATTTGGTTTTACAGCTCAAACAAAGATACTTATCATTTTAAAATATAATGCTTTCATTATTTAACAAGTAATTTTGATTAAAAATGGCATTGATTACATACATAGMAAACTAGTGTTCTTCTTAATCATCAAGTACAAAAAAATATTATCTCATTCATACTATTTTTGGCCAAAATATCCCTCACACTCATCACATACGATGAAATATTGGTATTATGAGAAAATTTTGCAGTGGTTGTAACTGTGAAATATCAGATGCTGACTACGTACCTAAAACACAGTTTAAAGAATGGCTTAAAGTTCTCAGTTTAAAGAATGGTTGAATTCTATCATGAYTTTTGGAATGGCTTGTTGATGTTGTTATGCTAGGAAAACAGCAGCAACAAACAGCAGGAATAAGGAAAAAAGAGTGTGTYGGCAAAATAATGATTTTTCTTGGAATAGGATGTTTAGGTGTTTCAAATCAAGGCCTRTTGTGCCTTACAGTAGTCATAGAATTCCAGATATTTCAAATTTGTAAGTTTATTGATTATTCCCTTCTCTTTCTATAGTTGCTGATTTCTAGTCTTTTTGATAAATAGAAAAATTAGATATGTTTCAATATTCAGTATTTAAATAGTGAAAGTCCTAAGTAYAGGAAATATTTACATTTGGATTTGGAATAAAAGAAAAATAAAAATCAGGCTTCCAGCTCAYATGAAAGGGAACAGAACACACATGGATTTTATCAGCTTGTGACAACTAAAGACCTGGCCAAAGGAAATTAGAGCTGGGGTTGATGTCTAAACCCGTGGTAGGTGCCAGTTGTCTGGTTTCCATATCTACCATAACTCTGAAATTTGTGAATGCAAAAACTCAGCTGTARAGCTGCACAGCCAACTGTGTAATTTGGAGAGTGCTGCTGCTGCTGTGGGAAACCGGGCAGACTTAGGGGGGGTCTGGAGTGCACTGAAATACCCCAGTTAATGCTGTTTCTGATCATAAATTAATTATCTTTCATTCCATCCCTTTACAGCTGATTCTGGTTCTAGAACTTGTTCTGGACAAGAAAAAAAAAAGAGCAAGTAAAGACAGAGAGTCCTTTGTCATAATGTCATATGACAGATAATATGACAATGACTGTTGTGGTCATGCAAATGAGATCTTCTTGTTCCTGGTCAGTTGGGATCATCTAACAAGGCATCATTCAAGTTTTAAAATGAAATTAATCTGTAAAATACTAATTCCGTATTTTTTCATGACTGTTTTGAACTTCTGCAGATCCCCCATGTAGCAGACTGAATGACAGCTAATATTTTGAGCTATAACTCGCATATCTTCACTCCAAGAATTTTGATGATGAGTGCTATCATTTTTAGCCAAACATGCTGAAATAAGACTAATAACCAGTGTACCTGAAAAATGCTTAGGTAACCAGAATGTGCCAAAAAGTCAGCCAAGATAATGTGGGTTAGCTTTCAGCACAGCAAAGCTGGAATAAGATAGAATACCTCAAGGCATAACATTTTGGTTTTTGTTTGTCAGTGTTGTCTGTGACGACCTCTTTCCTCTGCTTTTGGCCAAAAGAGCAAACAGATACTGTTTCCATTCAAATGAAATAAACCAGATGTATTTCTACGGAAAAGGAAAAGTTCCTCATACTTTCCTCATCCGTGTCTCTAAGTGTCTGTTTGCTGCTGCCCCCAGATTTATTGTACCTGTCCTTGCTACTCCTTGGCTATTGCTGCCCAGGGTGTCCCACACCCCCGTGCTGTGCCAGGACACCTTGCTGCTTTGTTTTCATTAATCAGTGTCAATGTGACCCGGAGCACGCGGGCTTTCCAGGACTCTCAGCGAAATGGAGATGCTCATAATGCTTTATTGTTAACAGTGAGTGAGGCCACGAGGAGCTCAGTRGCCCTGAATGGTTGAAATCTCCAGCAGCAGCAGCAGTCGAGCAGTGCAGCAGGAGCCATGTCTCTGCCCTTCCGAAAAGAGCTGGAGAAGTACAAGAATATCAATGAAGATGAAATACTCAGCAAGCTCTCAGAGGATGAACTGAAGCAGCTAGAGCATGTTCTCGATGACCTTGATCCTGAGGTTAGTGGTGATAATTCAAATACTGCCTGTTAGAAATATTGCAGCATTTTATATTTGTATTCTGGCACAGTAGGACAGCGTACCCCAGAGTATGAGCAGCTCAGCTGCAGACACTGTGGTTGTATTCCTGCTGTGATGTGCACCTTGCTTCTGTCCAAGTCACTGTGCTCTTTGKCTATCCCATGTCTGTTTGGACAGGAGCTTGTCCGCAATCTAAATCTTTAATCATGTTGGCACAYTGCAACACAATGAGAAGCTTTTTATGGCTGTTATTTCTGAGCATGGCAAGAAGCAAACACAACCTATGTTTATGGAGATCAGGTTTTTTGAGCTTCTGAAATCTGGTGGCCATGGATCAGATTTACTGTGCACGTTCTGGCCAGTGATGATGTGTTTCTGAARTACTCCAGGGCACCTTCAACACGTTGGCTTTGCTGCACGTGCACTGCAAAGTCCACCTGCCTATATTCCTTTCTGGGATTTTGTGGATTGAAATATGGGGGCCTTCTGTGTATTCCTGTGTTACAGGATGCAGATGAAATCCCATGATCCCACAGCTACATGTTGAAAGTGAGAATTTTCTGCTTACTTCCTCATACTCTGAATAGCTGAATTTGAAGTCTACCTCATTCAGCAGTCTCTTTAGTGCATGCCATTCATTTCTGAAGTCTGARAGACATCTGCTTTAGAATGAAAGGAATTTTTTTAATGAGAGTGAGAAAAACAGTCAGGAAAAGGAGTAAAGGAATAGAAGGACCTATCTAGAAAATTTATCCTCATCTATATACCTGGATTGCAAACTCTGGTTATAATATGAGTAACACAGAGGAATCTGATCTTACTTAGTTCTTCAGTGCTGTGACTGTAAATATGGTTAACAAAAACATTAATAGATAGTAAATCAAGAAGATGGAATGATATACTGGGTTTAATGGTTGCATTTAGGTGATGTGTGTTACTGCTGTCATCAAAGAGCATTATGCAAAGAATGATTTCACTATAAACCAACAGCACTGCAGTGGGATTTGGAACACTGTGTGAAGCTGTCTCCTGTCCTTTCCATGCCTCCYTCTCTCTCACAGAATGCCCTGCTCCCAGCAGGATTTCGGCAAAAGGACCAGACCACTAAACCTGCCACGGGCCCCTTCGACAGAGAGCGCCTGCTCTCCTACCTGGAGAAGCAAGCACTGGAGCACAAGGACAGAGAGGACTTCGTACCATTCACAGGGGAAAAGAAAGGTACTGTCCATCCCCACGTTAGCATTGGATAATGGACTGTGTGGGTGCAGCCACTGCTGCCTGGCTTTGTGTGGAATATTGTGGGACACAAGAGCTGGAGGCTGTGGCGGTACAGGACAGGGCTCAGCTCCAGGGGAGTGAAGGGGTGATGAAGGGGTGGCTGAGCTGCTGTGCAGTGTCTGTCTTGCTGCCCTGCAGTCCCAGGGGCCTGTCCCAGTGGCAGATTAATGCCCTTTTGAGGGCTGCAGGAACACARGAAAGGGTTTGGTCAGCACTCCCTGGTCAGCAGTGCCTCTGGGTGCACCCAGGCGTGGACAAAGGTGCCCTGGCCAACCCTGCRGGGACTGTTCCCTTTCCAGCACTGGGCCCATGCAGGGGTTTTGCAGTGGGGAGGCATTCAGGAGAAAACACATACATTCCTTTCTGAGTTAATATTGTCTATGACTGCTGTCACAGCTCAGGGAATACTCTTACAAAAACATAAGTATTTTTCCACTTGTTTACTAGCACATCTAGCAGTGCTATTGACGCAGACARTTTCCCTGCTACCCTTGTCCTACAGCTGCAGGAAAAAARGGGGRAAAACAGGAAAACCTAATTCTAATAATTTAAACACTGGTAGGATAACCTTAGGGCAGGAACAGTCATAATTTGAGCAAACAATATTCCTTTAGCACCATCATCTCCTTTTTCCTTGTTTATAAAAAGTGGACAAAAATGTCAGCCTCAGGCAACCCCTTCATTCAAGAAGGAACTTCCTATGTCTGGGTCCATTTCTGGCCGCGTAATGGATTTACCATTATTTCAATGTGATTTGCTTAAGGGAAAGCTTCCAGGAAGTTRAGGGCAGCATTTTTTTCTTTATGTATCATTACCAAAGATGCACAATGTTATTTATGTAACACTTTATAGAGCAGGAGTTGTTACTATCATTACATGGTATTCTCAGTCTTTGAAACAGTGATTTCAGGCAAATGAGACATTTTTCAGCTAAATATGATGYKCATGTTATTTTGCCATGCAGCATAYTTTTAAAGCTRYTTTTCTCCCATAAAAACGTCTGCTCTTTGTGTGCTCTTCACGGGGCTGATTCTGAGCCCAGTGACCTGCAGCAGTAACAGGGCAGAGATTCTGCCAGTAGCAGAAGTGGTCAAGCACCTATTGTGCAGGAAGAAAAGCAGTTTACTGTAGTATGGATTTATCACCAATTGTTCCCAGTCTCCTGCACACTGCTGTGTCAGAGCAGTACAAATTACTGCTTGCAGGTCTCTTCATTTTTATAGCAACACCTTCAATCAGGTTTCACCCTACTGATATTTACTAGGACTAAGATTTTGCCTGTTTTTCTGTAGATATGTCTGACCTCTCCAAATAAGTCTGAAACATAAGTGCACACAACCCAGCAGTGTGTGGAATTGCATATACCCACAGGACTGGCCCATGATCTATGCAAAAGAGGCCCTGTACTGTCCCTGACAGGGGTACTCTATGGATTGGCCTGCTCATTCCATTTCAGTTTTCTTTTGATGAAGCTAAAGCAACATTAATCCTACATTTGCTTCCAGATGCCTTCTAAGTGCTTATTAGTGCTGCTTATTAGTTCCTGGTGTCTCTGGAGTGGAAATACCACTGCTTTGCAAACACAACCAACCACATATTTCAATTCCCCTCAARCACAGAGTGAATGCAGCCCTCCTAGCATTTAAAGCTGTTCTTAATTTAGCTTTTGATTCACTGTGTTCAATTATTTCAAAATTAAAATTTCAAGAATTATCACAATTATGGGGTAGTGAYAGCATTTTTAGGCTAAAGGAATTCTTCCCTTAATTTCCTGTGTTCTTTGTGCAATACAAATTCATGACAAAATCWTCAGTATCAGCTTTAGCAGATTAAGTCAAATGAAAACAACCATGTGTTCTGTGATTTCTGCAGTSATTTTACAATTACAGTCTAAACACAAAGAATTATACTACATTTTCTTTGAAGCCAAAGGCCAAACGCTATGAAAATACCCTTTGTTTCTTTGTTAGTTAGAAATAACTGAATTAATCCAAGATCTGATGAGGTCCAGCACCTTGACAATTGAGAGCTGATGGGCTGCACAGTGTCATTTTTGTGCTGCTTTAAGGGAACTGGCTTTGAGAACACAGTTGTTTATTTTGAGCTGGACATATCCTGAATTGGTATTTGAGTGTCAGCGCTGCTGCCCCTCCCTGGCTTGGCAGGAGGTGTCCTACAGAAACACCACCAAACTCCCAGCACTGCCCTTCACTKCCTCCTTTCCTTCTTCTCCTTCCCCCTTGCTTTGCACTGCAAAGATTTCATGCAGAATCTGAGCCTTATCAAACATGCAGCTGAAATCTCCATCTGCCAAATGTGCTGAGTTCTTCCCATGGGTTGTGTGATAATCCTGCTGGTGCAATGTGATGAATATTGTACAAAGTCCACGTGTGGTTATTTCTGGATCTTAGAATCCATGCTTGTAACTGCAGTTTTACTTATTTTAACACTCAATTGAAAAACAATAACGACAGGATGGCTGTATTAAAATACAAATTACTTGTAAATTATAAGAAGATATTTCCTATACAAGRAAGCAAAGTAATCCTGCAAAGACATTTTCAAGAATTTAAATTTCTAAAATATGTCCTTAGACACATCTAAAGAAGGATATCTCTTGAGGAAAATCTTATTTYTCACCTTCTGCATGTTGATGGTCTTTAAGTTGTATTTATGGATTGGTAAATGTATCTATGATTATATTATGTAATTTCTGTTAAATTATTTATTTAACCTATGGAAGCATTGCAGTGTAGCCATTCTGTAAATAACCTGCAATTATTTGACACTATTTCTGCTGGTTAAAATTAAATTCTCAAGCAACTCTAAAATGCATCCAGTCGTGTATATTTGGGAGGTGTTGATGCCAATGTGCATTTATGACCTAAGAGTATTTGTATGTCAGTAGGATTAGAATGTGTCAGTGTTGTTAGAACTTTTGTCAGTGTTTTGTTCTGTGATATTTGTCTGTCACTGGGAAAGAATTTATTTTTTCAAATTTAGGAAGTGGGATGCTTCTGCTAAATGTTAAGTGACATTTCTACCAGTTCCTACACTTATCATACAAAGCTAAAATTAACTTGAAATTTATTGATGAGCCAAAAAGGTGACATTTAAAATATTCTTCTTCCAGAACAGTCTGTGGTACATCATTATTTTTATCTACTATGACTGCCTCTCCTTTTCTTGTTGTAAATGTTTTTTTATGGAGTTCTTGACCAAGAAGCAATACCAAGCAGCTGCTGAAGGACAAAACTCAGTTGCCTGTGTTGCTCTCTATATGCTGWGCAACCATAAGGTTTTGATTGTCCTAGAAAACAAGCCAAACCAAATTCCAGAGCTGACAGGGATATCCAGAGTGGYTAAAACACAGGAAGTGTTAAATATGATCCCCGAGATGGGGGTGCTGATTATGCAGGAATTGCCTTGTTTTCGATTGTAATTGTGGTTTCAGGAGGTTGCAGATATTTGKCAAAAACAGTCAAAYGTATGGAATRCATTAGGGTTTTGGCCCTCTGCCAWATTGCAGCTTGGTAATGTACTTCATTAATTGCTGTACAAAAAAGGTTTTAGGCCTGTATGGGATAAACCTCAGATTTCAATGGAGACCCAAGTTTTGCCTGAACTGGGGCTGAAATGGTCACAGGCACACACTCAAAACTGACCACTGAGAAATGTTTTCAGGCTGCTTTACCCACACCTCTCTAACACAAGCCAGGCCTTGGTGCTTCATTTGAAATGTCCCCTTGAGTGGTATGAAATGATCTTGTGGCTTTCAGGAGCTCCTGAGCAACACAGATGTTTGTTAGTAATGAATAGTGGAGGTGAAGAGTTAGGACTGATAACTGGGGCCATGGTGATGGGCAGTTTGTAGYTGCTTATTTCATGTATTTTTTAATTAGTTCCTACTTAGGATAAATACTCTAGAAATCCTTACATAGAACCTGATGCTCTGTGGAAATWAGTGACCCACTGCACTTAACACTTATAGCTGGAACAAGTGGTTATCAGACTGCCATCCCTTCCACATKAAGCCTTTTCTGTATCATTTTCAAGTTCATGAATGATCCAGGAATAAAAAGAAAAGGGGCAGTGCAGGTATCAGATATTCCAGAGCTCTGTTGGTGCTGTTTTCTCTGCAATCTGTGTGTCTCACCTCAGTTAAGAGCTGAGTCCTGCTCTACTACAGACATAAACTGGTGACAGCATTTCTGKTCCTGCTCTGTTTCAGGGATTCTCTGAACTACATGGTACTAATGAATTGTAATTATAAAAAGTTCTGTTGTAAAGTATCATTAGATATGAAAGGTTGCTTTAAGGATTGCTGTTTCAACCCTTCACCACTGTCCCTGTTTTCCACAAAGTCTTCTGCTTCTTKCCAAACCATTTCATTTTGGATCTGWTCCAGTTCTCATCAAAGTCATGGAAAAACTCCAGTGGATTGGGCTATTATTTTTGTGGCTGGAAAGGGAAGGGGAACATGCTTGTGTGTGATTAAATACTAACATTTTAAGCTTATTGATAAAAGGGAAAGGGAAGGAAAAAAAGGAACATTCAATCAGAGAATTTCTGGCTAAACCCATGTTTTCAGTTGCTCTGGCAGAGACCATCTATGCTGCATGTGGTGCTATGCCAAGCAGAGTATCAGTACACAGCACCAGTAATAAGGACAGTCATTTTCAGAAGGTCAGAGTATTAGAGGAGATGCTAATGAGTTCCARTTCCACTGAGCCTAACAGACTGCTTTTAAAAGTTAGAGTTTGGTGCAGAGACACAGTATCTTTCTTASATTGACGTGGCAGTCATTTCACCCCCAATCCTTAAATGGTTTGTTTAAATTTTTGCMACCTTTTTCCTATTCTTTAGGGCTTAAATTTAGAACTGATGTTTGTGTCTTAAGGCACTGAAAKCGTTGCAGTTGCTGACAGTAATGCCTCTCG